GGTCCAGGCAGGGGCAAACAGTATCCGAACAGGGCAAGACGAGAGAGGTAGTCCGAAGTACACAGGCAATAATCAGAAGACGAGGAAACAGACAAGGCAAGACTAGGCTAAGGCAGGGTAAACTAACGAGGGCTCTGTAGTGTAGCTATCAAATGATAAGCGCTAAACAATACTCGGCACCGGGAAGGGATCCGAGTGAGTGTTAAATAGTGAGTGAGTGATATGAAACAGCTGTGTGCAATCAGTGCTGTGTGCAATCAGTGCAATGAATGATGGGATCTGTAGTCCGGGGTGATATGCAACAGTGTGTAGTGCGAGAGTCAATGAAAATGGAAAGGGTGACCTCTGATGGCTAGCAGACGGAAGTTCATGGACCGGATACGTAACATGTCCTCTTTTTGGAAAACTAAAATATGGTCACCCTAAACAAAATGTCCTTAAACATCAAAAATGAAATGTATTATTATATTATATATTATATTATATTATATTATCTAATATTATATTATATTATATTATACAGTACATTGACTTGTGAATTCTGGGATACAGGAAGCATTTTCCTCCCTTTAAAAATTTTTTTGTATTTTTTATTTACGGCTGAAAAGTAAGATTAATTTAATGTGATTTAATTATACAGAAAGTACCAAGGTAAAAATTAAGGCAATTAATCATTGACTGACAGGCCAAAAAGAATTTGCATTTTGCACTGTTTTCCCTGCCTGTGACCCTTTTTAGAAAAATGACTGGTGTAAATGTGTGTGTGTGTGTGTGTGTGTGTACATGTACTGCTAGACTGAAGTGTGTCTCTCATTACAGGAAACAGGATGGAGGAGAGTCCTGCATTTCTAACACACTAGATCCTTCACTGTTCCAGCCCTCACTGCCTCACTCAACGTTCCTCAAGGTACAGTATCACAAAACTCCTGCCTGCTTGCATGCTGAGCGTCCTCCCATCCTACCAGTCCTTGACTTCTGCTTGCTGAGTCTGTCTCACCTCTCCTGACCCATCTGCTCCATCACTGTGTAGAACTAATACTGATTTGCATGAGGCCATTGTTTGGAGGCATGATTACAGACTTTTCTGTTTGTTATTGATGCACATGATTGACATGCCATGCAGTTAAATGAGAGTGATGTAATTAAATGCCAGATGCTATTAATTAACAAATGTCAGGCCGGTTTCTCAGTCACACCCCTTATTCCATGAGACAAACTAATGACTGTCAAAATTGCACTGATTAAGAAAGGTCATTTATCCACTGACAGTGACTTACAGCTCCAGGGTTTCAGCAAACGGCTCTCATGACCATTAATGGAACAGTTCAAACAAAATGAAAATTTTGTTATCATTTATTCACCCTAATGTTGTTCCAAACCTGAATGTCACTGAACACAAAAAGAGACATTTTAGAGAATGTACTCTTTTCCACGCAATTACAATGATCGGGGGCTTTCAAGCTTAATAAGTGGACTGTCATGAGTGGACTGTTAAGCGACCGGATCGTTGAGTCAGTGTGAAACATTTAGGCTTGTTTTGTGAACTGGATCAACTGATTCAAAATAATGTTTCCTCTAATATCACTATCATTACACAGATCTATGCCAGAATTTTTTATGAAAAACACTTCAGTTTTGTCCTGTTCCTCTCACAAAGCTTTTGCATGACTTCAGAACACTTGGTTGCATGAATCATATGAACTACATTTCTGATAAGTTAATGGTGTTTTTTTCTGCTATTTCGGGGCTTGATAACCCCAGTTCTCATTCACTTTAATCAAATTTATAAAAAAGTGTATTTGTCAAATATTCACCATTGTTTCATTTAAGAAACAAATACATAAAAGTTTGGAATGACATAAGGACAAGTAAATAATTATATAATTTTCATTTTTGAGTGAATCCCTTTAACTTCAATATCCAAATGCCTTTTCTGAGGTACATCACTACAATCAGTTCACCAAACTTCTTTCGTTACACAGACAGAGCTAGTAATCAGCTTATAAAATACACCTTCAAGTGCTGAAGCTTCAGTGCTTGTGCTGATGAATTACGTAGCCAAACTCATGCATGAATTTTAACCGCATGGTTGAACTTTAGCTGATGGAAGACTAAAATCTCTTTTTAGTTTTTTCTTTTCATACTGAGCTACTGCACAAATCAAATTTATTGCATTTTAATATTTGCTGATACACAGATCATCAAACACCCACAACAGGGCCCTAAGAGAGATAATACAAGGGCCCTTTAAAACCCCCTTTGAGTCAAATGTTATTAGTTTCATTGTTGAGCTGTATTTTGTTTGCCGATCTTGGGGATTGTGTCTGACAAAGTTAGATTTGAGGGTCAGGTTCTCAAAGTGCAGGGCTAAAGAATAAGATCCTTTGTGTATTGTGTGCAGTGTGTGTAAGTACTTTGAGTGATCTCTGTATGTGTGTAGGAGATTTTAGTGCTTTTAAACTCGGTGCGCTGAGCCTGCGATTAAGAGGATACATTTTGGGTGATGTCAGAGAGCTATAATGGCATCCACAATTCTGCGGCGTAGATTATCTACAACATAATGGAGGGTAATCTCACATGTATGAAATGGGAGAAAGAAAATGAATGGAAAAAGAACAGAGAAGATGTCTTTGGAGGTCTTGTCATTAATTTTGAGTCTATCCTAGTTTGTGAAAAGGAGCTATGAAAGCATCCTTCATTGTATTCCATGAATGTGTTATTGCTTGGTTCTCGGTTATGTTTAATTAAAGGGTTAGTTCACCCAAAAATTACAATTCTGTCATCATTTACACATCACCATGTCATCATGTTGCTCTAACCTCTTATTAATTTTCTCTGTGAAACATGAAAGGAAGGTGCTTTGAGGAATGTCTCTCTTTTTTCTCTTTTTTCTTTTTTTTCTTTTTTTTTGTCCGTACAGTGGAAGTCAATGGTAAACAAAACTGTTTGGTTAAATAATAATAAGACTCGGAGACACGGCGTTAGGCAAAACTTAACTCAGAACACGAAACTCTCAACGGAAAAGAAAAGAAACTAAAGTAAAGAAATAGAAGTAAAGTTTGACGAGACTAGGTGGCGTTTCTTTATCAAGTTAAGTTACGCACAGTAGCAACAATGGCCTGCAGTGTTAGCATGTGTTAGATCAACTGTAAAACAGGGAGCATATGGGGGCTGCTTGCCTCCACATGACACTCCTCTGGAGAGGATGGACACTAGCAACTTATAACTGAGACGATGGGCAGCATCTGCAAATAACTAAATTAAAATAAATGCATTGCCACAAACACATGATGTGTAAGAGCTCCGTTTCTCATGAGGCTCTGGCCTGTGTCACATTCCCTTGCTCTCTCACCAATAATTTCCTGTTGCTGTTCTCTATCTGATCTCATAAAAATGTTTAAAAGCCCCAATATATAAATATATATATATATATATATATATACAGTATTTAAAACATGATCCTATCCATACAGACCCGTGACACCAGTTGTGAAGCATTGTTTTAGAGGGCGGTGAGCTGCTCTGGGCCCCGTGGCCATGGGAAGAGAAATACTGCCTTCTGCTAGTCTGATAGCAGCATCTTCTAAAGTTAGATTTGATTTCATTTGTGCTGAGCTGAGGATGATCGAGGATAGGATGGAGAGAGAGAGAGTGACTAGAGAATCACATGATGGGGATCATTAATTAAGGATTGGCCTGATTTCACAATGGAGATAATGCCTCTGACATCCGTTCAGTAAGTCCATCAGTATGTCTTTCTACCTCTCAGCTCCATTGAACATTTTTTTTTGCCACGTTTGTCCAACAAAGTTTTTGTAAAGTAAATTTTGATTACTAGATTGATTTTCTCATCTAGATACAGTGGCCACAAATACAGTAGTACACTTTAGCCACTTTTAAAAATAGCTGAATTTCATTACTTCAACATAACTTTTATGAGCCAAATTTTTTTTTTTTTGCTAAATGGTCCCAAGATGATTGTTAATAAATGTATGAAGTAATTGCCCCTCAAGTGAACAGTGTTGGATAACCAGAATGTTTCCAAAGACTTTCTATCTTCATTTTGAACACTCAACTATTGTTTTATCTTTTGAAATGTAACCTGAAACCTGTTTCACTTGAAGTTTGTTTGTTTTCTTTTCTAAAAATAGTTTCAAATTGTGTCAAATTGTTTGGATATTTTCTTATACATGCAATGACATTCACTTAAACACACATGTGACTGAAGTGTTTAAATTGGGACATTTTTGTCTGATTATTTTGTCTTTATATTAAGTAAAATATGTCATTGTTTTTTTTATGTTATTTGGCTGAGGCTGAAACATCGATAACCTACAAGCTCTTTATCATTCCTTTTAAAATTTAGTCACAATGTCTTTTTAGACTAGTTAAATAGATTTGCTCATTTCTGCTGATCCCTGGAGACATTTCCATTTCCAAATCCACTCGCTGGCTTAAAACTTTATTAGAATAGACTGCCAGTTCTGTCTGGCAGGTTGGCATGAATCATAGATAACTATGAAAAAAAAAAAAAGTTCCTCCGAACATCTTGGAAAAAAAAGTATTCTATTCACTTTTCTCTAAGCACTCTGAGCACAGTCACTATAGTCCATCCCAAATGTGCTGGTTCATTTGTGTGCATAGCTCTAAAATGCCAAAAATTGCCATTGATTTATTTCTAGTATATTTAAATTATTTATATCAGTCAATTTGATATACAGAAAAAAATCATTACTGTTACTTATCCGCCTGTTATAAAATATGATATATGATATGATTATTCAGCATCTTCAGTGAACTGAAGCTATTTATTTATTGACATTTGATTGCAGATTTGGCATTGATTACTATATGTGTCAATGACTGTTATTAGGCTATTAGAGTAGTTAGATTGGATTGGATGGTCTAGGAAGATTAGCTTACAACGTCAATGCAAACTAATTCATATGTATGAGCTTAGTCTTTTTTTAGATTGTTGTTCTAAAGGATGTGTTACTTTTGATCATAAAGGCAGATAATTGATCAAACAAGGTTGTTACATTTTAAATAGATCAAATATTTTAGTGTATAGGTGTAACAGTGATTCCTATAATTGTTGTGAATTGCTTCTCAGAAGGAAGTAATGAAAGATCGGTGGGCAGGCTGAGCAGGCTCTGCTCGAATCTTCAAATAGAGTTGAAGTGTTGAAGGCCGATTAGAGTTGACACGGCTGGTTTAAACTGGACGTATCGCTCTAATAATAATGCCAATCAAACGAACAACAGACCTGTTAAGCTGACATAATAAGAAGTCTGTCTTGCACCACGATTCTGTCTATCACTCCCTCACATCCTCACATACTTTTCCAACAAGCATATATTGATCACAGACGTACATGACAACGTATTTAATTAAGATGTTGTCCCACGACAAGAGCCAAACTAAAGAATGCCTCTGCATGCTGATCACCTAGGCGTTACTTCACTTTAGCTAAAGTCCTGTCTCACCTGTATGAACTATTCTGAATTTTTTGTTAGATTAACGTGGCACAAAACTGTGCACAAAGAGATTCACAAACACAATTCACCAAAAAATTACAGTATGAAAAATAGTAAATAGTAAACATTGCAAAAAGCAAACAGATCAAAACAGTATTATATTTTATTATATTAGCTTTTGGAAATGTATCTTTACTATCCTTAATTAGGCTAATTATTTAACATTTAAGGCTCATTTTCAGCACAGGGAATGCAAATGTTGCAGGTGTAATTGTTTAGTTTTTCATTTAAAAAATCATAAAACTGGGTGTAGTTTTATCCACATGATGTGTTTAAGATGTGTGTGTGGCGAAGTTCATGAACGTTTAAAATTGTGTGCAAAACAATCCCAGACCCTGTTCCAGCCCTGTTATAGGGTACAACGGGGCTA